CTAAGAGAACCGCCAAGATTGAGGGCTTATCTGTCGGGCTGCTCCATCTACTGGTGGGGAGCGGCACCTGCTGGAAACCGGGTCCAGCGTCTCCTTGATACGTCATGTGGCACATAGCTTGGTGACTGTGGTTTCTGAGGCTGTGCTCCTTGTTAACCCATCCCGGGGCTTCGTTGTCCCATGGAACTGCTAATGTCACCCAACCCCTTGTTGGAGCTCCCCTTATCCCTAAGCCCGGCCCTATTTCAGCAGTCCCCCTGTTTGGTTATTGTTGTGACTGACCCTTTAAACCCTTAAATCTACAGCAGGCCCTCTGTTCTAACCTTGTTCTATCATGATTGTGTGCAGTCCCAGTTGACGATGTTACCACAACCTTTGAGCCTGCAAATCCTGTGTGCTATTCTGTCTGTCTTTCGTTCTGTGTTTGGAGGGGCGGAAACCTTTTCACCCTGGACCCGGTGCTAGTTGCCTGCAGTGTTCACTAGTTCCACCTTCTCCCCAACAGGAGTCGGTCCAGCATCCCTACAGAGACAGTCTTTGCCTACACTTGTATGATTGTTACCTTTATAATCTGCTAAGAGCAGGTGTCTCTCCCCTACGAACCAACCTACCTCCTTACTGATACCTGCATTCCTGCAGAGACAGACCTTGCCCAACAGACCGACCATTTTTACTGTTGCCCGTACTGATGCCCGTACCATTGCCTTTCAACAATTGCTGTGGCTGCCGGGGGAAACATATCTGGAAATTCCTCAGGGTGCTTCATCGGAATGTTGGGGTCGACATGGAGCCAGTCGTGGAACCTGAGCTTGTAGTCCTTGGTGAAGCCCTCTTGCCCCTCCTGGTCTCTCATTTCCCCTGGCCTGTCCACCTGGGCCATCCAGCCCCCCCTTTCCCCACCCAGCCATTCTGCGCAGAAGTTATGGATTTCCTTAGTTATATCAGCTTTTTGAGATACGGTTTCCATTTTTTCCTGCACTTTTTTCCATTGCCTTCTTATTTCTGTTTCAATAAACTGTTTTGTTGTGTCTGCCACTTTCCCTTCCCCCATGTTCGCCCCTTCTTGATCAAAGACACACCTTCTTAACCATAACGTCCAGATCAACATCTTTTTGGATATAGAGAAAAAGTTGTTGGCTAAGATGAATGCATGCGACCTTTTCCATCCACCTAAGAGAAGGGTTTCCCATTTCCATGGCCATTCCTCGCCAGTGCCCAGTTGAGTCCAGATACAGTCCCACCATCGCCACAGAAGGACTGCCCCAGGGCATTCAACAGAAAAATTTCCACGAGAAATGAAAGTTGAAAAAACATTCCATAAAAAAAAAAATCTTCATATTTATAAATTATCATTCCAATGTTCGTCCAATTCTAAAATTTTCAGTTTAAAAATGAGTTTTCCCTTCCACCTACAGTTATTTGTTCAAGATGGAATGAAGGTCTGGACGAGTTTATGAAATATTTTAATTACATTTTCATTCTACTACAACAAATATCTTCTAATTTAGATTGGATTAACATATTTATGACTGAAAATCCTTACTGAGAATGACAGTCCAATTAAAATATTTCATGAACTCATCCAAACTTTTATTCCATCTCTAGCATGCAGTCCAAATAAGAAGGGATACCCTATTCTTGAAATGAAAGTTTGCAAGTAAGATGAAAAATTTTAATATTGGAATGACATTTTTTAAGATGGAATGAAAATTTAAAATTTAGATCGTGATTTTACTATAGAATGATTATTGAATTCTCGAAAATTTTTCCGTTGTTGTAGAAAGATATGTTCTATTGTTTCGCAAATTCTACGTCCCGAGAACCCTGCGTTACAGGATTTGCACCATGGCAGAGTCTCCCCTCTCTGTTTGAGGTTCGTCTTATCAATGATCCAGTTGTTGTTGGGGAGGCACCTGTGACTGATTTGCCACTGTAGGGAGGCGAATTTTACTTTTTTGAACCATTTCAGTCCTCTAACTTGGTCCCTATGTAGACTGAGGTGTTTCTGCCATCTGTCTCCTACCTCTGTCTGAACATCCACCCGGGGCCTGATCATCCTATACGTGGTTCTCACTGTTAACTCAGAGAGTTGCACTGGTAGCCCATGATGTCCTCTTCTCCACAGTGACTATCATTCCAAAGGGTCCACGACTAACTCGGGTAGGGGAGTTTCTGGTAAGTAAGATCGTCATTGGATCCCCCCTTCCTTCTGGCTCTGCAGCACTCGGATCTGGTAAAGGTTAGATTCCTCATGCCACTGAACCGCATCTGGGTGGTACCTGAACAAGGTGCCCTCTCCTCTTCTTTCAAAAGATTGACCATTCCCCTTCTAGTCTTGCCTCTACCACTAAACCTATTTGGAATGGAAAGTCCTCCACCCTTACTGCTACCCAGTCTTGTTCCTGTAATACCCTGCCCTTCCTCAGGAACACCACACAGGCTAGGGGGATCGAAAAAATCAGGTGGTCTAGTGCGTCCTCCAGTTTATGAGCATGACGCAGGCTAGGTCTGAGTTGTTGTGCTGTTTCCCAATCCTTGTTTTCCTCATTCCATATGTCCCGTACTCGGAGGATCCCCTGTCAAATTCATAAAAATCGGTGGGGGGTCTGAATTGTCATATACCCTTACTTGACTCTCCGTTATTACCCTGTTTCCAAACAGGGGCTGGTATAAAATCTCCTCCACCCGTACTGGGGTATGCCTATCCGGGAGTGGTAGCCTCTGCAAATTCTTGATTAAGTTGCTTCAAAATTTGTCTCTCGCTAAGTCCGGTCTAACCACTTATCTATCCCCCTCCTCTCTTGAGCACGCGTTGGCCCAGGGGATGGTCCAGTATCGGTCTACCAGCCATGTGAGCAGGTTCACTATGTCAATAATCCTAGGAGCCAATGTGCGGATTTGCTCCAATGCCAGCTCCCGTCATGATGGACGGTTAATTCCTACAATCAGTCTTTTGATCCATTGGATTGATAGAGCAGCGGCTTGTAAAGTGGGGTCGAACAATCTGAGACCTCCTCTGGTTCTTTGTTATATCAACTTGTCTCATGCCACCCTGATGATCACATTTTGTTACTTGTGGTTCCTACGACAGAGAAAAGCAACCAGTTGCTTCTTAAGGCTCTTGATGCTGCCCTTCCCCAGGTGCCAGAGGGCCGCTTTGTACCAGGTGGATGCCAACACTACATTATTGATTACTAAAACCCTCCCAAAATTGGATGTGTTTTTGTTTCTCCATTTCTGCATTTTTTTCAGCGTTCGCTTAGTAATCCATTCATCGTTTCCACCTGGTGCTCCATAAGCGGATAAAGCCACCCCAAAAACTCTGATTTGTTCTTCAAGGGGTCTCCAATCAACCTTGGGGTGCTCCGGGGGACAAACTCCATGGAAGTGAATCCACCAGCCTTGCGTTTTACTCCCCCAGTTGACATACATGTCAGACACCCGTGTAAACCATTCCATAAGGGCTAGGATTTTTGTTATGTTATTTTGGGTGGCCTCGACTAGTATTGTAAGGTCGTCCGCAAACATTGAGTATACCGGTATAACTTCCTTTGGAATGCCTGGCAACCGTAGCCTTGAGATTTTATTGTTAGTTCTCAGGTTCGCTGCTAGTGTTTCCATCACCACAAGGAAGAGAAAGGGGGCCAGCAGGTCACCCTGCCGAACCAAGCGCTGAAGTCTGATTGTTAGCGCCAGTAGCCCATTCACCTGCACCCGTGTAGTCGCATTTTTGTGGAGTATTGTAATCCAATTTCTGAATTATAGGCCGAAGTTCATTTTATGCAGGCATTTGTCCAAGAATTTTCAGTCTACGTGGTCGTAGGCTTTTTCGAAATGGATGAACAATATAGCCGCGTTTTGGTGCAACTGCCTCGATAACTTGATCAATTCGTTGACCAGTAACACGTTGTCTTGGATATTCCTCTTACGCATAAATGTCGTTTGTTAGTGTATTAGGGATTGGACTGCCATTTTTGCTTGATACCTGGAATATGTTGGCGATTTGTGTTTTTTGTTTGGGGTAACTACATGCTATGTATCACCCGCGCTCGTGATCACAGGCCATTTGACCGCACGCGGTCGGCATCCAGACTGCAGCGGGCGGCGCCCGCGACCAAGTGCGTTTGGAAAACCCCGACATTTTTAAATCCTGGGATAATAGGCCAAAAAATAAAATAAAGATATCGGATTGTAGGTTTTTGTGAGCTCTACAACCGTATGTTTTTAGGTTTTTTTTTCGATTTAAAAAAAAATAAAAAACAGAAATCCCTTAGGCAAAAGTTCTTCACTTTATTCTTTTAGTAAGAAAAATAAAGGATTTCATTTGATTTTTATGATTTTATCTCAAAATTGGTAACGAATTTTGATATGACCCCAAGGCAAACGTTGTTAAGTTTATTTTTGGGCATAACATATATTATTTTCAGAATTTTCTGAATTCTTTTTTTTTTTTTTTTTTTTTCATGGCTGCGGACCTCGGTCATGATCGTGGCCTCACGGCCGAGACCGCGTTCTGCGGTCGTGGCCGCAGCGACCGCGACCGCAGCCCGCGGGGGATTCATACTCTACATGGCGGTCACAAAAAAAAATTCAAAGTGCATTGGGAACAGCGTTTCCCCACTCAAGTCAGGGCCGCAGTTTAAAATGCAATTCGAACTCCAATTCTCGGAAAAGTCGCAGCGTGGAGTTTGACATTTTTTTTTTCTTGGGGGGGGGGGGATTTGTCATTTTTGTATTCAAGAGAAATGGATTGAGGCTGAGGTCCTAAAAATTCAACCCGGTACATCTGGGGCCATTACCCAGTTTCGGCTAATGCTGGAAAATGGGTCCAACGTACCATCCACTTCATCAGCAAGACTGTAATAGACTAGAAAGATAACTTGTACACAGTCCATAACTAGTCAAATCTACTCATATTAAAGTAGAAAACCGGACTTCATTCCAATGGATGGGGAGCGGCACAGAGACGGATCTCACAGAGATGAGACATGGAGTGAGGATCGGCTCAAAGAAAGGCGAAGCACTTCTGCCACGTGTGCAGTCCGTTTCATGGGGCCCTGCTAGCCCGACGCCACCATCTGACGGTTCGGTGGTGGTGGGTGCCATGGGAGTCAGTCCGACGCAGTCCCCTCCCAGTGTGGCACGAGATCGCGGGGCACGACTGTCTGCGCCAACCTCAGCGGCGGGTAGGCCTCGAAAGCGTGGACAGGCGACAGTGGGGGCCTTGGCTTCTTTACTCGGCCGCACTGACATTCCTTGGAGCAACACGAGGAGGTCGACGGCGGCTACCACGAAGAGGCAGCCCGGGTTGGGGAGGCGACGCTCGTCCACATCATCGGCGAGGGAGGTGCATGCTGCTGGGTTCGAGCATCGTGGCGGGTCGGGTGCTGATGTCGAGGGTGCGGGCGGACGTGGATCTACAGCGCCCGGTGCACGAGTGTCGACTCACGGATTGAGGGAGGTTTCACAGATCCTAGGGGCAGATGTGTTGGGGCCTCCCAGGACACAGCGACCAATACCTCGACGAGCATCACACCTTGAGGGTGAGACCACCGGGGGCGAGGGGTTGGAGATGATGCGAGGGAGACGTCGCATGGACACCCTCTTAGAGGCGTCACGGAGGGAGATGAGACGGGATGGCATCACGGTGGTTGACGACGATCAGAATGACATCGCTGCAGAGGAGGCTGACGGAGAGGAGGACCTGTCGATACACGAGGCACGCCAGACGAGCTTGGAGCGTGGCGAGCGGTGGACCACGAACCCGCCCACACGCGCCGGACACCATTGACTTTTTTGTGATTGTTAGTGGTCAGCGGCACGACCCCATCATGTAGTCTTCACACGTTCCTTCACCGTGTGTCGCAGTAGCATGGTCTTTTCCGTTATTAGGCAGTGCATATTTTGCTTCTTTCATGCCGAAGGTTCATTGTGAAACCTTTCTGGGTGCACATACGTTTTGACCTTTCATATTTCGTATGGTACGCTCACTTCGATAGTAGTGTTTGTTATTGTCTATGCTGTTTTTTTCGGCATAACTCTATGTGCAAACTGTGTGCAGCCGTATGTTTTGTTTGTATCATATGTGTGCATTTTTCCTTTCCCTTTGTACCGCGTCTGCCTATTTTTTGTTGTTTCTTCTTTTGTGCAGGACTTCGTTTTTTTTTTTTTCACCTCTCGCTGCTACTCCCATCAAATATCGTGCCTGCCTTAAGTTAAGGTGGGCACGGGCCTTGCTGGAGGTATCCCGACCCAAACACCACCCAACCCAAAACCCCGCCCC